ACTGTTCACCATGTAAGAACTTATTCACTATGTAAGAATTCGTTCACCATGTAAGAACTTGTTCGTTATGCTTCAGAAGATTGGAGACTGACGAGAACTAGGCTTGAGATGGATTAATGATTGTGCATTGAGCATTGACCCCCCTATACAGAATTTTATTGTTGTTAACAACCATTTGATCAATAAATATGAGAGATGCCCTCTCAAAAAAAAAAAAAAGTGCTCCTTCATCCTCTACTGGTCTCACATCACAATGAATTTGATAAAGCAGAGGATGTATGTAGAAAGTGATTACTTCATTTGGATCCTATTTACTCATTCTATAAGAAATCTGAATGATTTGTTTCTGTGTTTTATGCAGGGACACTACTCCTAGAATTGGCGACATCCTTCAGAAATTGGCGCCGTTCCTTAAGATGTATGGAGAATATGTGAAGGGATTTGATAATGCCATGGAATTGGTTAAAAACATGACAGAGCGTATTCCCCAGTTCAAATCAGTAGTTGAAGAAATTCAGGTAATAGGACTCTTATTCAAGTCTGTCAGTTAATTTTTCTGTACAGATTATAAGATTTTCTACATCTAAAATTTAGATTGAAAGATATGAAACACCAAGCCAAATTCCATTCTACTCTGAATTATGCAAAACTCGTATCTGCAGAGTTAAAGTATTTATTGTGAACATGCCATGCACTGGGCAGGAAATTCTCCATTTGGTTTTGAGACGAGAAAAGTCTAGCTTTATCAAGGTATACATAAATTTAGAGTAAGTTCCCATTCAGGACAGTGCCGCTCTTGCTTGCTTTCAGAGGTTGAGATGTTGGAATGAGTATAAATAAATGTAAAGAATTATTGCTATAAACCCTGACATTTTGGAAAGATCATTATCTGAGTTTTATGTCACTTTATATATGTGTTCTGGGTTTTTTTTTTCAATTTCCTCAACCTGGATAATACATTTTAATATTACCATAACAATTTCTATTTGATTTTCTAGTCACAGTTGTTAATGACTTATTCTTTGCTGAAGTTTAAATATTGGAAAAGGAATTATTTAGATCATGTAAGATTCCTGGGGTAGGGAGTCTGCTGCTCCGTGACTGCTGCCTTTTGTGTTACATAAATATTTTTTTATTTGCCATTTTAATTGAATCTGTTTCATCACAGTCTACTTCAAATTAATTCTGGTAATTCTTAATTCTGGTAAAATACATTTTGCTCCACCATAGCTCTGTTCCTTCTTCAATGCTCCATATATCATCTGTATTACCTCTATACTTTTTAAATCTAGTAATACAGCAATATTGTTTTATGCAATTGTATTTCTTTTAAACAAGTTAAGGAGAGATATTAGAAAAAATGTACATATAAATATATTTATTAAGCCATACATTTACTACTTCTGAACTAAGATCCTTTCGGTGTGAAAGTGATATGGTTTCTTGTAAGGCAGACTGGGTAGCAGTGAAGTTTCTTTGTCTTTGTTTATCTGAGAATTAATTTTTTTTCTTCACCATTGAAGGATAATGTTGCTGGATACAGAATTCTTGATTGACAGTTTTTTCTTTCAGTAATTACAATGTCATTTCACTTTCTGGCCTCTGTTATAGATGAGAAGTTAGCCATTAATTATACTGATGTCCCCCTGTCTGTAATGCATCATTTTTCTCTTGCTGCTTTTGAATTTTTCTCTGTTTTTGGCTTTTAACGGTTGAATATGATATGTCCATGTGTAGATCTTTCTGTATTTATCCTTCTTAGGGTTTTTTGAGCTTTGTAGATGTGAAGATTATTTTTTTTTTGGTACCATTAATATACAATTACATGAGCAACACTGTGGTTACTAGACTCCCCCCATTATCAAGGCCCCCCCACATACTGCATTACAGTCTCTGTCCATCAGCATAGTAAGATGCTATAGAATCACTACTTGTCTTCTCTGTGCTGTACTGCCTTCCCTGTTCCCCCCACCTGCTACTGTAGGTTATTCATTAAAAATTAATTTGAGAAGTTGTCAGCCATTATTGTTTTAATATTTTACTCTCATTACACATATGTTAGTATTGTTGATGTTTTCCTATAAGTTTCTGACTATTCATTTTTTAGTCGTTTTTCTCTCTGTTCTTTAGATTGTATAATTTCTAATATCTCTATTCAAGTTCATTAATTTTTTTATTCTGTCATCTCAGCTACGCTGTTGAGTCCCTGTAGTGAATTTTTCACTTGTTGTTATACCTTTCAATTCAAGGATTTGCATTGTTCTTTTTCATAATATCTGTTTCCTCCTTGAATCTGTGTGCTTTCATTTTTTTATACTTTCCATGTTTTTCAAATATGATTTCCTATATTTCTTTGATGTTTTTAGAATAACCACATTTAGGTCTTTTGTGTGGTGTATCCACAGTGTTCAGAGACAATTTCTTTTGACTGCCTTTTTCTTCGGTTTAGGTAACACTTTGCTATTTTTGTGACTGTCTCATAATTTTTTGCTGAATATTGGATATTTTAGATAGCATATTATAGCATCTCTGATTCATATTTTCCCCACTGAAAAGAGTTTGATTACTTATGGTTTGTTTAGTAATTTGCTCCAAATCAAATTAAACCTATGAAATCTGTCTGTCCTCCGGTGTGCAGTCATTGATGTCTCTCTCAGATTTTTGCTGAAAATTCTTATGTTCATATGTTTGTGTGGCTTTCTAGGGGTTGCATTGGCCCTATATCTCTAGGTTAGGGGTCACACAGTTATTGAACAGAGAGGGCTAACTGCCTACAGCCAGTAAGCTTCTGTCCTCTGCTGATGGACCTGTCTGTGCATGGGGAGCACTTTCGAATTTAAAGATCAGCCGTTCTCAAGTCCACAGGGCCCTTTCACACCTGTCTACAGGTGAACAGCCTTAGTGTGGCCAGAAGACTGTGCTTGCTGGCTTAGGCTCTTCGGTCTTTGCTGATCATTCCCGCGGCTTCAGCCAGGACAGTCACCCCGCCCACGGCCACAACCTCAGGCTGCTGGAGCCACTGGCCCTCCTCACTTACCCACCTAAGAGATCTTCACTTCCCCTGACAGCATCGCTGGGGGTGTGCGTTGCCCACCCCTCCAAACCAAATGAGAGGTGCACTTCAGCTCTGGCAGAGAACCTGCCAGTCCTCACGGTCTGTCCCACCCTGGCAGAACCTTCATGTTGACTGAGTTCGGGGAGGAATAGGTGGAGCCCTGGACCAGAATGCCACAGATTCTCCCTGTTCTTGCTGAAAGGTCAGCACATTTTTTCAGATTTTTTTCAAATTCTGTGCCTTTGGTTGATTTCCTAAGGGCTGTAATGGTTGTATTAGCAGTTTTATCCAGCTGTCTCATTGCTTTTTTAGAGGATTTTGTCAGCCTCCTCTCTCAGCCGTAGCCAAAACGCCCGCCCCTTCTCCTACACTCCTTTTCTGAACAGCTCTTTCCTCTCCTGGTTAACCATTCATCTCTTTCTGAACATGGCTCCTTCTTTGATTCTTTCGTCAGCCCCTTCTGCTAATAAATAAATGTGGGCAAAGCATATGTTTGCCTTTCACATTCTTGCTCTTTACGCCCTCCGTGGTAACATAGTTCCTCAATCCTTTAACCATCGTGTCGTAGAGATGTCTCTAGGGTCATTGTTCCTACCTACGTATTCTGTTCCTCTGTCCCTGAACACCAGTCACAAATGTCTGGGCACTAGTTACATGATTCTGTTTGAACATCCTGCTGTCAAAGTCAGCATATTTCATTCCTGTCTTTAGCTTGCAAGCATTCTTTTCCATGTGATGTTTTGTACCTTGTGTTTTATGGTTATGTGATTGGATTTATTAGAGATCCCCAGTATCTTCTGATTCACTAGAGCTTCGTGACTTGATTTGTCACTTTTCCTCATTCTCTGTGTGCGTTCGTTTACCTGTGAGATGATATATTCCAGGTGCTTAGCATGGGGCTGTGGCACAGTAAGGCCTCCCTGGATGATGGTCGTGATGCTGTGACTGTTGTTTTATCAAATCTTAAAATTCTCTCTCTGCTATGTCTGTCTTCTCCATGTAAGGAAATAATGGGGTTGTGGAAAGAGTGGTGGATTGAGAATCTGCTAACTGAGTTTAGAATTCTAGCCTGACACTTACAGTCACTGGACCTTAAAAAACTCCCCTAACTTCTCTGAGCCGCCGTTTCTTCCAATAAATATTTTGGTACCAGCAATATTTTCCTATACAAATATATGCAATAGGTTTGTTGGAGGAAATCAAATGAGGTGACTAAACTAAGAACATTTTCACGCTTCATTAGAGGAAAGCTATTATTCCCTTCGCTTCCCTGCTGATTTCAGGCTCTTTTTGCTTTTTTCCCTGTTATACAATAATAACTTCCAAACTAGTTTCCCCACATGTCCCGAAAGCCACATTGCAGTAGGTTAACCTTAGAGGATCTCAGATCCAGCGATAGCACTCCCCTGCACAAAAACCAGCATGAGATGAAGCAGATCTAAACTCAGCTCAGCATTCTTACCCTAGATCACCTCTATTTCCTCATCCCTCGCTTCCCTGTGAATACCTTATTTGCCAAGAAAACTCAGCTGTTCCCTTTTACTAAATGCATTTCATGCCCCATGGCCCACTGCCCACGGGCCTGTTCTCCAGCGTCCCTCTTCCTGCCTTTAGCCCCTGGCCTTCCTCATGTGTCCTCCCACCAAAGCCTGCCCTCATCAGCACTCATGTGGAATGCTGCCTTCTCTGTGAAGCCTTTAGTGTTTTGTTTGCTTTGAATGCAGGCATCAGGTCTAATACAACTTACATGCTCTGCAGTGCCTTGATCGTGGTTTGAGTTCAATAAATATTTTAATGTGATTCCTGCTTTCTTTAATATGAACAGAAACACATCTTATTGTTCAAATAATTTTTTCCTTCTCTTGTGTTAACAGTCATTGAAAGCAAATGCTGTGGACTCAATTTTACCCTAAGAAAAGATCTATTCAGAAAATTTGGTTTTCTAATGGAAAAGAATGCCATGACCTATGAAAAAATTAACATTTTCTGGCTTCATAATATGCTCAGATCTTGTTATTCTTCTCTGTGGAGTCTTTTTAAAATGCAAAGGGAGTGACATTTGTAGTAGTCTTACTATGAAAATGTTTCTGCTGAATCTGAAGTCATTTAATACAGTTGTGCTCAGTAAACCTCATTAAATAGATGCGTCTTCTAAAAATCTCTGGACTATGATTTAATAATGTGACTGCACAAACCCTTGTAGTGACTAATTGCAGTAGTTGCCAGCAATCCGGGATTTCCATACTTAAAATTCTGTTCAGTTCTTTTTCCTATTCTTATACTAGGTTGGTCATCAAACTTGAATGTTGTAAGAATCTTGTGTGTTTTTAACACGCAGGCCCCTAGCCCCAGAGATTGTGGTTTCCTAGATTGGGATGGGATTCAGAATTTGCCTGTTTCATAGTGCCTTACACAGATCTAATGCAAGTGATGGACAGACCCCACATTGTAGGGAAATACTACCCTGGAGGTAAGTTCTCTGTGGCTTTTCCAGACTGAGTTTTTGAACTGGCCAACCTGAGTTTTAAGTCTTCCCTTAAAAACCTTTCTCATTATAGAAACAGAAGGTCTGTGGGAGCCTGACTTTGCAGCATCATATGCTCGAGCCTGTTCAGCGGATTCCCCGGTATGAGATGCTCCTTAAAGATTACCTAAGGAAACTTCCACCTGACGATCCGGACTGGAATGATGCTAAAAGTAAATGCTTTTTTTCTCCCTCCTTTTTACTATGGAATAATCAAGTGGCCAAACAGCCTCGTGGTTCCCAAGTGAGACACGTCTCACAGCCACTTCAATAAACCATTGCTGCGGGAAAATAGCCTCCCTGGGAATTGATATCAGCATCTCAATCAGGCGAGCACTTCTGAGGCCAAATCACAGGTTTAGAACAATGCAAGTCACATTTCTTTTGCTGGTTTCACGTTGATCATGAACTCAAAAGTATAAAACTGCAGTCTTAGAGACATCTGGAACAGCAATACACAATTACCTCCTCACAGGAAAGATGCAGCCATTCAGAATTACTCGTGCTGCTAGATAGGTTAACTAGATAGGTTGGGGCATGCCAAGAGCGATAAAATGACATTTACTATGTAAAAATATCAAGCCGAGTTGGTGCCATCCACCCTAAAACAGAAAATGGTGCTTATTTGTGTCAGTTAACATTTTCCCCAAGAAAACTGTGTTCCTATTCTGCTTACTGTCTTTTATTCTGTCATGAAATCATCATGAAAGGTTTTTTTAAGGCTCAAGATGTTTTGGTACTTGAGCTTTCTCACGTACTTTTAAAAAACCAATTAACTGAAAATCCAAGAAATAGAAATGGCTTCGTATTCATTGGGTGCTTACAATGCTCATGTCCCACATCTTAAAACATTGGTACTTTCTTAACAATTTCTTTATTATAAGTCAATCTTGGTAAGAGGTAAGGAGCACAGAGCACAGTCTTTGGCCTCAGAACCTGGGTCATTTTTGAATACAGATGTTCTCTGATAGACTTACCCACCCCCCAAGTAAGCTGTGGCCACAAGAGCTTCTCTTTCCCCCCTTCTTCCTGCACAGATTAGAATGCTCCTGACTTGCCTTCTTCCCACTTTCCCCGCCATTCCCTCTGTTTGTCATCTGCCTGGGTGCTTGGCTTTATGGCAGAAATAGCGGGAGGACTGGGGATGGGGTCACTGTTGCTACTGGTCAAGCTGGTCTCCTGGGCAGGGGCCCAGCCCACCTCCCTGTGTCTCTACCTTGGATCCCGTATGGAGTGCACAGAATGCTCGAACCCGATGGTTCTCCCAAATGTAAACGAACAGTACTTCTACCATGCAAAGACTTTGACTTCCCTGAAGGCGCCTTACTTTAGCAGCACACTAAGCTATTGTATTACTCTCTGTGGTTTGCCATTGCTCCTTACACTAAAAATCTAAGGAAATCACCGAAGTGCTTGTAGAGACCTAAAAGGAGAGGGCAGAGGAACATAAGTGCCTTCTGCTCAGCAGGGGAACAAAGAAGAAGATTTGGTCCAGAAGAGGCGAGGTAGTCGTGGTGACGGAACCAAGCAGCCAGTATTCACAAGAGAGAAGAGAAGGGAAGTGAGCAGGGCGTGACTGAGGATGGAGAGCATGCCCCGGGTGGGTCCAGCAGGGGCCTCAGCCGCCACAGCTCCCCGCCGCCGTCCCCGAGCTCCCCCTGGCCCGTGCTGAAGCGTCCCCAGTCCCCTCGCTTGCCGCCACCTGGCCCAGCAGCCCCTCCCTCAGCACTGGCCCCTGGGGGTTCCCTTTCAGCTGACCAAGGCTAGGGCTGTGTTTCCCCAGACAAAGTTGGTCATGCTTGGTGGTTAATATGCTCATAAAACTAATAAAATAGTACTCCTGCTGAAATGTAGAACTTCGAGCCGGAAGACCTAGGCTCAAATATCAGTATCATAGCTGTGTAGACCTTAGCCAAGTCACGTCACTCTCCATCTGTTTCATCTGCCAAGTGGAGGCACCTCATTTTCCCTCAAGGTTGTGTGAGAATTAAGTGACATAATATATACGAAACCACCTGGCAATGTGCCTTGAAACCAGGTAGCGCACACGGCATCTGTTAGATTTGATAACCCGTTTTGAATTAAGTATACCAATGAGCCTGATTACTGTGTGTGACTTTTATGAGGAAGTAGCTTCAAGTTCCAGGTGTTCTGCTGACACATGCACTTGGAAAGTATCCCGTTTGTGTGTGGAGTTGGCGTTTGCTCCTGTAGTGTGTCTTTGGTCTCAGATTTCCTCGCACTGTAGTGTGTGTTACTCAGCTGTCTGGTAGCACAGTAAGAATAACATATTTATTTACTTTTCTTTTTTTCCCATTTAGAATCACTTGAAATTATATCTACAGCAGCGAGCCATTCTAATAGTGCAATAAGAAAAATGGTAAGTGGTTTTCAGAGGAGACAGGAATCTGACAGTTAGGTAATTGTCCTCTCTGTAGGTCTGGACCAAAATGAATTGATGCAGATGAACAGAAAAGATTGTTTACAAAATGTTTAGTGTTATCTGAAATAACCCTCTCCCCTCTTCTCCCAGGTTTCAGTTTGCTCAGAACTGACAGTTTATATCAAAATTTATGCTTACTCTCAATCCCTGCTGAACTATCTAGATATTAGCTAAGGTCATTGTATTATTAAAGCCTCTAAGGTAAAACTACCTTATATTTGTTCTTCCTGTATTTTGTTTTGATTTCCTAGGAGAAACTAAAGAAACTCTTAGAGATTTATGAAATGTTGGGAGAAGAAGAAGACATAGTAAACCCTTCAAATGAACTAATAAAAGAAGGACAGATCCTCAAACTAGCTGCTCGGAACACATCAGCACAAGAACGCTACCTTTTCTTAGTGAGTATTGTAGTGTGAGCTGGTCCCGAAACAGTAATTCAAACAGTATTACATCCATCCTGGAGAAGCAGGCCGCTTACTTGCTCACCGAAGCGATTGTATTAACCTGATTCAATCAGCACCAAGGATTCCACCTACGGGAATGTCCTTACGAACTGAAACCTGCTCTGTCAAGGACACAAATCTCATTTTAAAGTGTTCTTCTAGAGTTTTTCTGTACTTACCATATATAGTTTACTTCACTAACACACACTGAAGACAGTTTAACCCTTCCACGATGATCATAACCGTCAGTGTGTCTGTGGGGTGTGGTCTGCTTTCTGAAATCCTTTTCTTGGTTCAGATTCTCTCTTTCCTTTCATTCTCATAGGCTCGTAGGTCCCATTTCCTGAATATTTTGCTGGCGTGCTAATTCAACAACAGTTCTCTTCCCGATCCTCTCTCATCACAACTTTTAATCTCTGTAGTTTGAAGGAATATATAGGCAAGGTTGTAAAACTTGTGCCTTAAAGTACAAGCTGACTACATAGTTCGTTTTCACTGTAGTCAGTCCCTTTACTTCCTGGAAATGACTTTAGGTTTGGGGCTTATCTCAAATGTAAGTGCTTCCTGGGGCATCCAGCTGTTCTGTTTTTAGTCTCTGTTAATTCCAGTTCCTTTCTCTATTTAATAATGTGATTGTTGTTATGGGCAGAGAAGCAGACACACATTGGTAAAAAGGCTGCCCAGTGACTGGCACACACACAGTACATTCTCAGAAGGTTACTCACATCTAACTGGGCTGCTGCCAGGCAGGCATCCCACCAGCCGTAATACGAGTTGTCACTGGGGGCTGAGAGGTTTCTGTTGTCTAGTCACAGCCTCCCTTGAAAGGAAAACATATAGGAACTCACTGTCATGCAGAAGGGTGTTGAGCATCTCCCATTCTTTATAAAGAACACTTAGCCACCATCTGACCCAGCAGCGCTGCTCTAAGTGTTTATAATGCAAGAAAATTGAAGACATGTCTACACAAAACTTGTACTATGGATGCAAAATTATTCATATAGCCAAAAATTGGGAACGACCTAAATGTCCATCACCTGATGAATGGGTAAACAAAATGTGGTGTATCTACACAATGGAATATTACATGGTGATAAAAAGGGAATGAAATACTGATACATGCCACATGGATGAACTTTGAAAACATTGTGTCAAGTGAAAGAAGCCATCCACAAATGGCCACACTGTGGGATTCCATATCTGTGAAGCCCCCAAAACAGACAGGGAATAGAGGCAGGATGCAAGCAGTGGTTGACCTGAGCTGGTGGAGAGGAGGAAATGGGTATAGGGTTTCCATGTGAAGTCATGAAATGTTCTGGAGTTCGATAGCAATGATGGTTCCACAGTTTACAACTGTACTAAATTCTGTGGTGTCTGAAGTAGATCTCAATAACTTAAAAAATGTATAGCTACTGTTTAAATTAAGTATTACAATTTTCATGTGAACTCAGCAGAAGAGCTTCACCAGTCAGGTTGCACAGAGAGGTAAATATGAACGAAGGGCTTGTGATGTCAGAAGTCTGTGTATTTTGAAGGGTGGGCTTTGTTTTTCAGGTATGGGGAAGCCATTAGATCAAGGGACAGTTGCCACTTAAAAGACAGTGATACAGATAACCAGAAGGTGGAGGCATGCGGCTCCCTGGCGGGGCTGCCCCAGAAAGCAGCAGCCCCAGTCCCAGGCAGAGGGGGCAGCAAGAGGGCCTGAGCTCCAGCTGCAGGTTCTGTAGAAGGAATGGGCCAGGCAGGGTAAGCCGGCCTGGGACTCGCTGGTCTATGTGATTTCATCAGGCCCCAGGGCAGAGGGGCGGGTGGCTGATCCCTGGCCCTGGAGGGATCGGGACAGGGGGTGCTGCCCCAGAGCACAAGAGCGCAGTAAAGGAGGCAGTGGGTGGAGGCTCCGGATCCGCTCCTGTCCCTACGAAAGGCCTACTTACAGGGGAGTCATTTACCAACGTTAGGAACCGGGGAGCCCTGGGGGGGACAGGCCATCCAGAGTCGGCGGCAAAGATGTCAGAGCGTCAGCACTACAGACTAAAAAGACACATTTAACACTCCATTCTGGGCAGAATGCCGGGGAGTCAGCATCGTCCGTTGGTCTTTGCTGAGGTGCTTAATTTCTTTTCCCCTCTTCTGTGTTAGTGTTAGAATTTCTGTAGGTGAGCTTTTAGCTCTGTGTCTAACTCCAATGGATTGCACTGGTTTTATTTTCACATTTGGGGATCGTTCTGGAAATAGTTTCTGGTTGAGTACCTTCCTGCAGAACCACATTAAGCAGTTCTGCAGAGGGCAGATGGCAAAGATCCTTGAGGGGCGGGGTGCAGCGCCGGCGGCGTTCAGGAAGGGGCCCATCGTGTCCCAGTTATTATAAGCTATCAAACACACCACGCTGTTGCCTCCCGGGAGAGGGGGTCAGATGGCAGGAATTTTAGGAAAGCCACATTCATGTTTTGAAAGATCCAAAAGCGTTTCCTGTAGGGCTCATTCTTTGAACCCCGTCCTCTTAGTGCTGTGTGTTCCTGTCCCAAAGGCGCTCCTCTCACCAGCACGCTTTTGTTCCCATAGAACACCTTGTTTTTTAATGTAGAAACTTCAGAAGTGCCATTTTTATTTTCCTTTCTCTTTAAAAGAAAATAAGGACTAGTTTTCTGTTTCCTACTTTGGGGGTAATACATTTGTGTGCATCATGTAATTTTTAGAATCTGATTTCAGCTTTCAAATGATCTTACGTGTTTGCATATAGCGATGTAAGGTACTCTGCTAAGTAAATAACCCTACCTGGCCCCTGAGAGCTAAAAAAACAATCAGATGATCCTGTAGAATGACCCAAAAAGTTTCATTCTTGGCCTTTTGGAGTTCTATTCCCTATTTCCTTGTGGTTTGACAGATTGAGATTTTTTTTTTTTCCCCTTGATTTATTTGCATGTTGACTACAGACCAGGCACTGGAAAATTTTCTCCAAGAGTATACTGTTGCCTTTTAAAACAAACTTCAATGAAGCTGCCACTGGTGAGACATGAAATTGAATTATTCCATTCAAATATATTTTAAGAGACTTGAAATAAATAGTTGAGGAACACTAGAGATCAAAAGTGGGGAGCCTCCCTACGCTTTGAATAAAATTGACACCTGCTTCTAGTTTCGGCACAGCGTAGCACTTCAGAGCTTGCCATGCTGGCCGGAGATTCTCTGTCAGTAAGGGCTTCTGAGCTGTGGGCCGGGGGGTAAAAAGCAGTCCCTTGCCCTGAAAGGGGAAATTGATCTAATTCGCGCTGCAGTTGCAGCAACTTCCTCTTTTAATACCAGCAGAAGCCCAGAGAGAAGGTGAGGGCGGCTTTGGCCACCCGAGCAAGGTTCACAGGGGGGTCGGAACTAACTCTTTTGCACCTATGGCACCTAGTTCTTTGTAAACAGCATTTCGCATCCCCCGAAGCTCTCACCTCCGTCTGTAGGAAGAGGAACGCTATTTATTGATTGACATGCGATTGTGCTCTGAGTTATGGAAGGTTAGCACATAGCTCTTGACAATTTCAAGTGTGAAGTCCCACTTGGGAAGAATATAATAGGTGAGATGGAATCCTGAGCGCATGGGAGAGAAAAACATATCGTCCTGAGATATTCTGTCACCTTGTCTGAGCGTGACTACAAAAAGCAAACGCTACCAACTTCTGCATTCCTGGACTTGTGTTTCTATGAAGTAAAAAGACTTTGGTGAGCTTTATAAAGGGAACTTGATATAAATGCCAGGTAACATTTCAGGTAGCTCGGAAATGCTGTGCCATCACGCGACGCTGGTCATTCAGTTTGCGGGAAAATCTCGTTGCTCTCTTGCGCCGGGTCTGTTCTGGTGGTGACTTTGCAGTCCCTGCTGCCCCTACCGCACCATTCACAGCCCCTCCACATCCCCTTCTGAGAAGGCCTTGGGAGAAGAGAGAAACGTTGCTGTGAACAGTCAGCAGTCAGGCTCTTGCCTCAACTAAGCTGGGGCGGGGATGAGAACCTTCCAGGGTGTTTGCAAATCTCTCAACCCCATGTACTGCCATGAGGCTGTGCTTAGCGTCCTTTGAATACAGTGGGCAGTGAAATGATAAGGCGTAGGGCACTGGTGTTCTCTTCTGGCAGTGTAAATGCAAATGTAGTGCTGGAAAGCATCTGATAAAATGCATTCGGTGCCTTTTTATTTCTGTGTTCTCCAGTGTAGAAATGAAATTTATGACACTGGTTACAGGAAGTTGCGAAATGATGTACAAGAAACAACTGATGAGAAATTTGCTTTCAGAATGAGTATAATGAACAGTGTCACTTAGGCTGAAATGTTTTAAATATCCATCAACATCTTTATGCATGTGTAGAGCAAACCAGGGGGCCTGGCAGCACAGGTCATTTTCTCTCATTTAATCCTCTCAGCAACCTATGACTTTTACAGATAACAGTCCTGAGACATGAGAGGTTGCACATGGCAAAAGGTTTTACATCCCCCATTGCTCTTGTCCTAGAAAGTATATGTAACCCTAGAAACAATGTAAGAAACAATAAATATGAAGTAGGAAGGTAAGTATGGACCTCCTTTAGGAATCTGCCTACAAATTAACCCAAATATTAAAGACTTCCATCATCTTGTGTTTTAATATATTCCAAAAATGAATTAAATACCCTCCCCAAGTCATTGATTGGTCCTGATTAGCAGGCACTGTTCATTGTTGACTAGCAATAAGGCGCTATACGTAATTTGATTCAGTTTCAGGCATAAAGGCGTTCATTTTAGAAGTAGATCAAGAAGAGGATATTTAAAGACATTTGCTAAAATTGATGATCCTTTTGTTAATTCATATGATAAATTCTTAAGCAGAATGTGGGCCAGTATAAAAACTTAGTTCTTTATGTAGAGTTAATGCTCTAACCCCACATGTTCTAATGAAATTTAGACTAATAATTTGGCTATTTTTTTAACATTAAATACACTGATAAAAACAATCGCTAAATATTACTCTTTTGCTCTAACAGCTGTTGTAGACTCGTTAAGACACCATTAGAAATTTTGTTATCTAAGGGCTTCAGCTTACATGGTTGAGAACTTTAGTTCCTGGCATATGGAAGGTCTTTAACAAATCATTTTAAGCAAATTGCAGAATTTAATTGAACTAATTTCCTTAGTAGTACCAGTGGCTTACTCAAATATCCATAAAATGTTATGAACCAACAAAGAGAAATATGTGTTAAAAATTTTAAATACGATACTTTAAAAATCTCAATATAATGCTTAAATAATTTTGCTCCCATAGTAATATGTGATATTCCCTAGAAATTCCTTGAAATTGGTCCAGGGCTACTTTCCCTATTGGCCGCTTTACTCTGTCTTCTTGGTTTCCTGTTCGCTGATACGTGTTCCGCCTCCTTACAGTTCAACAACATGTTGCTATACTGTGTGCCGAGATTCAGCTTGGTGGGCTCCAAGTTCACAGTTCGAACCAGGGTCGGCATTGATGGAATGAAAATCGTAGAGACTCACAATGAGGAGTACCCACACACTTTCCAGGTGTCTGGGAAAGAGAGAACCCTGGAACTGCAAGCCAGGTAAGGGACCCTTCCTACCCCCAGCTTTCCAAAAGCATTGGAATGAATGGTAGGACAGAATAATTCTGGGGATCTTTCCCAGATAAATGCTGTAGACCTCTTGGCAATCTGGTTGGACCTAAGTGGAGAGGTGTAAGCATTTGAAAGGCAGGAATCCTGTCTTCCCTTTAGATTCCTCTGTAGTGCCTAGGATAGTGGTTTTCAGTCAGGAAGCTTTTGGTAAATTCAATTGACTCTCCAGACTGGCGAAGTGCTCAGAGTATGATGCTGCATTCAAGCCACTTTTGAGTCTTGTAGGAAAAGGTTCTTCCCTAACCCTTCCTCTTTCCTTTTGGTCGACAAATGTTACTGACACTTATTATTCCATGTTGGAGCTTTAACTGCCAGTCCTTCAGAGGCTCTGCATTCATGGGACTTAATGGCACTTTGACGGAGAGAATGCTTGGAAAAGGTAATGGTTCTCCTGCCCCAGTTGGAGGATACATGAAGGGAGCCATTTGGGGCCGTAGTGACCTCTAGCAACCAGGACTTCGGGAAGGGGCGGCCCCTTAGGTGCGTCACTGAATGGGAGAGAAGGGGCTGGAGCTCTGGCATCCGTCCCCCAGCGTGATCATGTTTGGAAAGGAAAAGAGCCGCTGCAGCAGAGCTCAGCTGTGTCCTGCAGGGACCTCTGAGACACGGAGCTCTGTCGGGGTTGAAAGGCCCACTTTAGAAAACTGGCATACATTTATCCTGTAAAGATCGAGCATGGTGGAAATGGGAGTTCTCTGGAAGGTCACGGATGTGACCTCAGACTTAACCTCAGGAGGCCAGCTTCCAGCCCCCGCGCTGGCGGTTCTGTACTTAGAATCCACCGGAAGTCAGGGAGCCCTCCTGTCCTTTCTGTTCCTTTGCACCAGTGACGTGCTTCTGCTGCTCAGGTGAATTCATGCCAGATATTTATACCTAGTAACTGAGAAAGAGCTTAAACTTTGGACTTTCAAGAGAGAATAAATGATTCTAGCAGGAATCTTTGACCAGGAGTCAAGAAATTGGTGAATTACAGTTACAGGAGATGTGGCAGGCTGGGGAAGTTTGCAGAAATAGGCAGTTTCTTGATTTCCCATAGGAAATACATCCAGGGTGTGGCCTTGCCTCGGAGCTGCCGGACAGCAGCTCTCAGGAGCAGAAGGTGGCATTTCAAGCATGAGTCGAAACGGCGGAGGACTTGGCTTTGAATGTCGTGGTTTTCCTTCCTCTTGGTGGTGGGTTTGAGCCCCAGCCATCGGACCCGAGAGACGACTGTGTGGTGCCGTGGCTCATAGGCTCCTTGCCCGAGTCCTCCCTGGGTCGCGACTCACTGAGGGGTTGGCCCTGCGACAGGGAGGGCACCTCACTTGTTCTGCCTGCAGGAACCAGCCTACTCCCAAATCTGCAGACCTGAGAGACGCATCTCAGTAGCAAAAGAGATTCTCAGGGTTTCTTGGGTTACCTACGTGGGGTTTCCAGCCCTCCGTTAGCAGGCAGGGCTGTTTTCACTTCAGGGTGGGACTGATTCATGAGGAACTTTCCTGAGTACAGGCAGCCGTCACTTAGTAGAGTTCCAACATGCAGTATTAAAAACATGGTCTTTTATCTTTAGATTTCTTATTCCCCTAATCTTATTCTAGTTATATTTATGAGTATATGGTGAAGATCTGAATTCAGTGATTACTTTTTATCTAGTCCGTAATGACTCTCTCAAGAATGAAGACACACATTCAAGGTCCCAGAAATGTAGACTGTTAGAGGGATCACTTGGAACCCAAAATTGGGTGTATTTTTAGAGATACTTAGAGGATTCACTACTGTAACTTACTCAGAAAAAGGGTTCTGCTTTTCTTTGTGAACGAATCAGCCTCAAGACTGACCTCTTACACTCCGCTTCCTTTTCCACGTTCAAAAGAATATAAAATATTCTGCTTTATGGAATTTTCTTTCCCAGTGGTTTTCTATTGCCGAATGGATATAAAGGAGTAAAAAAATCTGCCATGACTGAGAAAATAAAACAAAAGTACTGAAGCCAAGTTTCTTTGCACTTTAAAGGCTACCAGCAGCTGGCACATTAACTGTGCTTCCAAAGGCAGTAGCGCTCGTTTTGCGGGGCAGGACCCAACAGTTAGGAGAAATCTTAACTGAGGGGCAGCAGTAATGCTTCGCCAAGGTTCTTGGTCCAGGGATCCCAGGTGAATGGTAAGCAGAATCTTCCACTTGACAGGCATCAGTTGTAGCAGAATTCCTGGCACATCTCGGGGCTCAATAATAAATCTGGGAAGATGGATGGGGTCCCAGAGCAAAGCTCCTGCAAGACTCAGAGGCACGTGATTCTGGGGGGACCAAGGCCTGTGACACTCAGGCGGGACCTCAGACGTAGCTCTAGCCTACCAAACGTACGCAGCTGCGCAGAGCCCACTCTTCCACACTCTTCAGAAGTTCCTCGACTTGGAGAGCTTATGCAGTCCATGGCTCTTCGAGCAGCTTGTTCTAATACAGTATATGACAGCAGCCAGTCACATAAGCAACCTGCAGGGGAGATGAAATAAGGAAAATCCACCTCAATAGGAAAACGGAACTTGACTACAGTCAAGGAAATTGTTTTCCCAACATAAAATCGTTAAATACTAGGAATGATTCATCTGAAATCTCCTTCCTACAGGAACTTAAAATTTTTGTTTTGCTTTTTCTATAATGGGTTAAGCATGGTATCGCCCGAAGCTTCCTAGCAAAATAAAATTGTTTATCAAAGGAAATGTTAAATAGCTCCCTAAGGTCTTACAAAGATACTTTAGATTCTCGAGGGTAATAGTCATCGTATCTAAGATGGGCTGTGACTAACAGTGGTTAAAAGCCTTGTGTATTTTCATAACGGTGAGTTGGAAGACTAGTTCTTTATTCACTAGAATGCTAGATCTAAGGTTACCTGGTATATACAACTAGATGATGTCTGTTAAACTTAGTGACAGGGCAGTGTATTAATGGAAGCCAAACTTAACTCTCCCCATCAAGAATTATGTGTACCAGCATAAGTGGAAGGCCTACAGCTTTAAGTATCTATTTGTTCAATTGCTGGAAATTCTGATTAACTTTGATTGTAACTCCTTCCTGGGCATCCCTGCATTTCCAGAAAGTTGGAACAACATTAAAGCATCGTTCTACCCACCAGGTGCAATTCATTAATGTTCTCTGCACTCACTCGAATTTTGTTTTGTTTTAGTTCTGAGCAAGACAAAGAAGAATGGATCAAGGTAAACCTGATTCCTATTTTCATTGTCATTTTTTGGTAACCTCTGTAAGTGTACACCAACGTGTACATGATATAGTCATCAGAACAAGGTCATTTAATCTTTAAGGTGATTCCTATCACAGATACTTGTTTAATTAAGTATTTTCATTAATTTGCAAGTTATACTCTAATGTGTGCTTTGGATCTCATATTTCAGGCCCTTCAAGAGACTATTGATGCTTTCCATCAGAGGCACGAAACCTTCAGAAACGCAATTGCAAAGGATAACGACATTCACTCAGAGGTTTCTGTAAGTTGAATTAAATCCTTAACTTTCGGCTCTTTGCCCTTTGCAGGTACAGAGGATCTCTCTGGTCCTTTTGTTATCCAGTCTTTTCTCTTTGCAATGCCAGGACTGGCTTAAATTTAGATGGTCTCTTTCCTTCAGAAATGAAGACGGGAGCGAGTGCCTTCTCGTGCTGCTTAAACTTCTTTGAAGCTTCTATTTCTGTTCCTGGGTCTTGTATTGCAAAGCATGATGTGAGCAATGTTGTTAAAGGGCTTTTTTAAAAATAAGTAAGTAAAAGGAAATGACAGGTTTTTTTTCTATTAAAACTGAATCTCTTCCTTTTTAGACTGCCGAGCTAGGGAAAAGAGCCCCACGGTGGATCCGAGATAATGAAGTAACGATGTGTATGAAATGCAGGGAGTCCTTCAACGCGCTGACGAGGAGGCGACATCACTGTCGAGCGTGTGGATACGTGAGTGAGGCTCCTGGTCCTTACGGTTGTTGGTAACAACGGAGTGTTGTTAAATCATCAACTGGGCGGGGGGGGATGATTCTGTGAATCGCTTAACTGATGAGCTTGTTTTGATGGCAACTGTAACTATGTGCAAGCACTGTGCCGGGTCCGGGAGAAAAGCAGCCAGGAGAACAGTGCCCAGCTGTGCTCACACAGCTTACGCACCAACAGAGAAAGCAGACCAAAGCCGAGCATTTCTGATTACTACAAGTGCAATCAGGAAGCAATCACAAAGTTAAACTAGAGAATAATAGTAATGGAGGAGGATTTGGAATCATGTTACTTGGCAAAATAAAGACCTGAGGGGTTGGTATTTAAGCTGATGCCTAAGACATGAGAAACAGCAAACTAACCATGAGAAGGGCGGCACGAAGGGCGTCCAGGCCGCGGGTCGGTCTGCGTGGCAGAAGCCCTGAGGAAGAAAAGAGCTGGGTCTGTTCTTGAGACGGCCGGAGCCTAGCGATGGAGGGGAAGTGAGGCCCAGCGACAGAGAAACGGCACCCAGAGGAGCCGACGTCCCTGAGGAAACGGATGGAACCGAAGTGGAGGTAGAGGCTGTTGCTGGGGAAGTTCGGGCTCTCCGTGTGACGGAGGAAGAAGGAGAAGATGTGTGCAGGTGTGGGGGCGGGGGGTGAGTGGGGTGTGGGACGTCTTAGGTCTGATGATATTTTCACTGGAGTGTGAGGCAGTCATCAGCTAAAAGTGAAGGGGAGGGAAGAAGAAGTGTTGGAGGAGGTTCGAGGTAGAGGGCAAAGTATCAAATGGTTGCCTGTAGGCAGGGACAGGTGCGTGTCCCAGAGAAACAAAGATGGCCTGCTGGGCACCTTAGAGATTTATGGTTATAAATTTAAAAGGACACACTGGTCCATTTAATAGCCATCTTAGTTCTCTAACAAAATGTAACAGCTCAAGCCAAAGAAGGGAGAAGACAGGGTTCAGCAGTTGAGTTGGTGCATGTGGAAGCCATGAGGGGAGGTACAAAGCATGAAGTGAAGCTAGAGAGACGTAACAGCAGGTGTCGGAGGGCCTTGCGCACCAGACTGAAGATGAATTCTTTTCTTCGAAAAAGCAACAAATAGATTGGGAGTGGGGTGGGCGTTGCAGTGCCATGATGTGATACACCTCGGTGTGCAAATACATTATTATTGGCTTAAGTAACAACCCTTTCAGACCTTCTAGATTATTCTCCATGCAGATCTCTTCTTGTCCTTTCTCTGAGTTTTGGCTCAGTGAGACAGTTTTGTCATCAGAATTAGATTGATAGCAAACATCTTTTTTTTCTTTCTTTCAGGATAAGGTATTTTTTAATCCACCATTGGGTTTGCTTCAAATGAATGCAGGTGTTGACATACTTGCTTGCAGAAAAAAAGACAAAACAAAATGGTGTTTGAATGTGGATGTTCAAAATATTGTGAGATGTTTTGAGAGCAAATATTAGTTGATACGAATCTGCAGCTACAGACATGTCTAGTTCTCAATCTTAGAATAATTTCATTGTAACTGTGAGGAAACAATGAAAAGCTTTTTATCATGAATCTTAACGTGCTGTGAAATGAAACCAAAAGTTTTACTAATATTTATATTTCTTAAATATAATTTGTCCACTGTAAATTGGGGAAAAAATGTCCCTCTACAAGCAAGAAAATCATTTCTTTTAAACTGGAAGGTGTTTTTTTAAACAACTATCCTTTAGTAATTAGAAAAAATTCTATTCACTAAGACATAGTATGCATTTGCATTGTGGTCATTCATTCACTGACAGTCCGTAGGTGTTTACTGCATCCCTGGTGAGCAGTGTACGCAAGGGCACTGGCACAGAGCTTAGAGCCTCATGAGGCCAGGAACGTCAATCGAATAATCACACAAGTATATGATCAGAACTTTAATCAGTGCGTGGAAAAAAAGGGCAGGGAGCTTCAGGAGCAGAGGGGCAAGAGATAAGCGCTCTCTCCTGGGAGGTGGAGGGGTCCGCCTTGAGGAAACAAAATTTGAGTCAACCTCTGAAAGGTGAACACAGTTCAGTCGCAGAGCAGAGGTGGGCGCGGGAGGGGGCCTCGCGCCTTGAGGCCGGTGAGGGCACAGAGGAAGAAGAGTGAGTGGGCGTCGTGCGGGGCTCTCCAGGCCATGCTGGAGGATTTGTAATTTATCCAAGAGCAAAGGGAAGGCTTGGAGGATTTTCCATAGAGGAGAAACAGGTCAGCGTTTTTAGGAGAGCATTTGGTGCTCTTTGGAAAGCAGCTTGGAGGGATGTAAGGGTAGAGGCCGGAGGCCAGTATGAATGCAAACCAGCAGTTGTGAGGCTGTAATAGTCCAAACTAGGACCCTGAGAGTTTGGGCTTGGGTCATTACCAGGACGGTGTAGAAAGATGGGCAGGTTGAAAACAATTCCAGGAGGTAAAATCAGCAGGACTTTGTACTAGAGTGACTCTATGGGCTGAGATAGAAAGAGGAGTCGGGGAGGACTCCTAGGCGTCCGACTTGCTGTGGCTGGCTGGACGGCTGTGCTGCTTCCCAGGAGGGAGGCCTCGGAGGGGGAAGCAGGTGGGGCCGGATAAGCAGAGAGCCGAGGGCACGGAAGGTCTGAGTTCGTTTGGGGAGGATATTGATGAAACATCCAAACATTTGAAGAGTAAAGATGTGCACCAAGCCCTGGAAGATCTACCTTTAGAGGCCAGGAAAGAAAGGGCGAGCAAGCAGAGCCCGTCACGCACAGCATCATACCACCAGGAGAAAGACTGACGTTCATGAGGGTGCTCTTAGTCTGATGGAAATTTGCCTTTTGTATTTAACTCTTTCTCATTTATTATTACTATGATGACTGTTACTTAAATCTTACCGTTCTTCCTTAAAAATATGATTATTCATGTTTCATTATCTTTTTAAATTGAAGGTGGTTTGTTGGAAGTGTTCCGATTACAAAGCTCAACTTGAGTATGATGGTGGCAAATTGAGCAAAGTTTGTAGAGACTGTTACCAAATAATAAGTGGATTCACAGACAGTGAAGAAAAGAAAAGAAAAGGAATTTTGGAGGTATGAAAATGATGGGTGACATTTCAGATTTTCTTTCAAGGATCATGGGATTGTTTTTTAACCCCAAAGAATACAAATACCATATTTTGTTACTTCTCTTAGTATTTAACAGTTTGGAAAATGATGGGCAAGATTCATACTTCTGTTCTATGTTGCTGAATTTGGAGCCCATACTTAGCTGTGTACAAACAAGAAGGGCAGTGCTATGATAAATGAACATGCATTTGAGGGTGCAATACATTGACTTCTATAAAGGTAGCAATTGTCATATATTCAGTTAATTGTCATCTCTTCTAATGCCCAAATTATTATAGTATAGTTTTTAATAGGAAAACTTCTCTCTCGGTTTCCTCTTCTTGACTTTGAAAACCACTGCATGAAATTATTAAAATTCAGATTAAAGTATTCCTTCGTTACCTGAATGGCTAGCTCTTCCAACTTATTGCATTAAAAGCATCATTTAGTAGCACATGACAATAATCTGATAAATACATTGAAATCTTATTGAAATGTCTCGCATGTGAATTTGACTTTTGTTTTAGAGTAAATTCAGACCCGTAAGCCTAGGAAATATAATGCAACTTATATCTGAAATGAGGTTCATACTCAGATATTAACAACATAAGGAATAAATTATATTACAAGGGCTTTGTGGCAGAAAGTCCAACAGAGCCTGGAGTCTGTGAAGAATAGGTTCAGGGTTAAAATTCTGTGTATCTAAAGTCACAGACATACTTGGTTTATTAAGAATTTCTATGCTTTATTAAGAACTGATGAGTGTTTATTGAGCATCTATGCTGTATAAGCATACAAAAGTCAGTTCTGTTGTCTGAAAAAGGATCACAAACTTCATGTAAGGGTCCATTTAAGATTAAAGTATAGGCCCACAAGCTCAGAGTAAAAACTGAATTCTTCTACAGTACAGACCAAGCGGGGCTTCCTTGAGCGGAAAGGGTGGCAAGACAAGCTTCTCTGGCTCCTAGGAACACAGCCTCAAAACTGAAGAATGGCAGCTGATGACTGGCGTAATGTAGAGAGTCAAATAACTTGTTTTAAGGGGTGAGTTTCAGGCTGTGTCTGTGAAATAAAAATCTCTAGGTGGTTTTCTAGAAAAACCTATACTTACCATGTTAACACACTTTAGCAAATAAATATATAATGTGAAGTCCATTAATAAAAGATAAGTATGTATGTGTGCGTATGCACACACACGCACATCTGAAACCTGGTTTGTGCCAACTAGTTTGTTATGCAGTCTAGACCAGGGGTCAACAAACTTACCTGCGAAGGGCCAAAGAGAAACTATTTTATTACTTTTTGTAGGCCAAGAGGTAAAACTTAGAATATTACTTTTATAAAATGAGAGAAAACTAATTTTCACTAATTTTTATTGACAAATTCAAAATACAATGTAGTATTATTTTTTATAATATGGTAATACAAAGAATGGAATTCTTTGGGGAGTGGGAGATAACATTTCTCTTAACTGGAGTCCGAAGTTAGTGTCCCTGTCATCAGATCGGTTTTAAATGTTCAACTCTAAAAACTGTTCTCAGCTCACAGACTGTACAAAAACAGGCGGTAGGCTGGCAGGCCATAGTCTGCTGACCACTAAGGCCTCTTAAAGTGTCTGATGGGGGAGGAGCCAGTTGTATTTCCAAACTATCATAGCTGACTGTTTTGCACGATCATGTTTTGGGGAGTCATCAGTAAGTCACATTGCTTTAAAAGTTGCTAAGTGCTTCCCGGGGCTCTCCGTGCTCCGCGTGAACTGCTAACAGAACTGTCTGCAAACAAGCGCTGTTCCGGGGACCGTGCTGAGCTCCAGCACCCGAGGACTCAAGCAGTAGGAAATGGAAGTGGACCCATTGCTTTCCATATGTGTATAATAAAACCACCACTTAGTTTTGTTCCTTTTTTTAGCCAGTGATTTATACAGTGGGCAAAGCAGAGAACCATAAATGGCTCTACAAAGGGTTATTCCAGTTTTTTAAGCTTTTAAATTATCTCAGATTCCAGGACAAAGCTGACAGTACTTACCTTTTGGCCGTTGCCTTCTTACACAGTGGAAGTTGGGACAGCGTGATGCTTAAAGGGTCAGCCCCCGTATCCAGACCCAGTCCTAGCATGCCAGCTCTAGGCTGGGTGATCCTGTGAAAGCTAGTTCACCTCTGAACCTCATAGATCATGAAAGTAGTAACTTCTCAGTGTTGGCATGAGGATGAGTGAATGAAATAATACATGTAGTGAACTAAGAAATGTACCTGTGTAGTAAGCAGCAGTAAATGCTTTATTTACATTCAGTGTCTAGTAATAGAGTTAGAATTGCCTTACACATTTTCCCATGCTAGTCATAGGTCTAGATGAGTGTTTAAATAATAATTGCCAGTGAACCTTTTTTGGCAATCCAAAGAGACATTTTATATAAACACACTGCACTTTGTGAATGTGCCCTTAAGTTGATTTGCTTCTCTGTCTGGCTCATTTGTACTCATCCTCTTTCTCTCTCTCTCCCCATCATATCCTTCTAGATTGAATCAGCAGAAGTGTCTGGGAACAGTGTGGTCTGCAGCTTTCTTCAGTATACGGAGAAGTCAAAACCTTGGCAGAAAGCTTGGTGTGTGATCCCCAAACAGGACCCCCTGGTGCTGTACATGTACGGCGCCCCCCAGGTATCTAAGCTGCATTTTTCTGAAGGGATGGAGGTCATGGAGGCAGGAGGCTAGTAGGCACTGCACTTGGAACCCTTCCGTTGCTCAGTTACAGAACGAGAGAGCTGAGTGTCACTGTTTCATGACAATTGAAAAGTATTAAGTCCAGACCTATCGGGCATTACGCTAAGTGAAATAAGTCAGAGAAAGACAAATACCATATGATTCCACTTATATGTGGAATTTAAAATACAGAACAAAACAGAAATAGACTCATCAACACACAGCACAGACAGGTGGTTGCTATGGGGATGTGGGGACAGGTGGCAGAGGGGATAAAAAGGTACAAACTTCCAATTACAAAATAAATGAGCCACAGGGATGAAAGTACAGCATAGGGAATATAATCAATAATGTTGTGATATCTTTATATGACGACACATGGTCACATAGCCACGGTAAACATTTAATAACATACATAACTGTCAAATCTGTGTTCCTCTGAAACCAGTATAATACTGTATAGCAACTAAACTTCAGTTGTTAAAAAAGTATGTGCGATTTAAATATATTTTCATGAAAATTAAAGAAATGCAAAAATAAAATTTATTTTTAAGTTAAAGAAAGAAAAGTAATCACTAAAATTCAACTTCATTGAAACCAGCTGATTCCTTCTATAGCCAATAATCCCTTCACCTTGTGCATCATTTGCCCCCCTCTCTCCTTCCCATGCAGGGGGTTGAGGAAAGTGAGTTGAACTAGGAAAAAGCATGAGAAGCCGGGCAGGGGGGTGGCGGTGGGAGTGAAGCGTGGGAGAGGCGAGGAGGGGGAGGAAATGACAGTAAGCCTTTTTTTCCTTCTTTCTCTGAATGGATGGATACCTGAGTAAGAAAGGAATTTTGGAGGAAGGGGAATTCAAGTCAACCTTGGGTCAGCATTTATTCAGTAACAGTATTTTGAGAACCACGTGTGCATGGATCTGAGCTGAATCTCTGGGAAGCGCAGACGTGCAATGCCAGGTTTAGCTTCTAACCAGAGCAGCACCAGGCACTGTGGATTGTATTGAGCTTGCTTAACACTTAAACCAACTGTGTGTTACCTGGAAACACGTAAAACGTTAAATGTATCTGCTTTGTTTTAGCCCGTATCTACATTAAGGGGTAGTAAAACTTCATTTTGGAAAGAGACTAAAAATGCCAACATATAATGTATTTTATTCTGTTTTATCTTCTTTCCTATAACTTTTCCTGTCCACAAATCGATGCATAAAAGAATGAATCACCAAATAAAACTGTATTTGGTAATGGAATCATCGTTGACATTTGCTAGTTTTACACAATCAGATGACAATTATTTTGTTCTCATTTTCACCTGAATGAAGAGCTGGGTGGGCTCCCTCCCTCACAGAGAGGAGGTGCAGGGTCAGTGAGTCCTGGCTCAGTCCTGGCTCAGAGGTGTCAGTTCTCATTCATTCATTCATCCAGCACTATCAGGGCCTCTGTCCGGGCACGGCGCTAAGCGTGGGGCGACCGTCTCTGTCCGTGGAGAGCTCACCGTGCGAGTCTGTGGGGAGTGGGGCCAGGAGAGGGTTTAGAAGGAGCCCCATCATGAAGGGCCGTGCCTAGCGTGCCCATAAGTCTCATGCTCCTACATACCATGTTTTTCCTTAGGACGTCAGAGCCCAGGCCACCGTCCCCCTCCTGGGCTACACTGTGAACAATATGCCGAGAAGCGCGGACCTGCCCCACAGCTTCAAACTGACCCAGTCCAAGTCTGTGCACAGCTTTGCCGCAGACAGTGAGGAGCTGAAACAGAAGTGGCTCAGAGTCATCCTTTTAGCTGTCACAGGTGAGACGCCAGGTGGCCCTGCCAAGCACCCAGACGCCTTGGATGACCATTCTGAACCAAAAAAGTACGAACCCAAAAAATCAGAATGGTGAACCCCAAGACCAGCCAGTGTGTGTGTGTGGGGGGGAGTCTCAAGATTTACAGCTCAAGACATTCCCAGCTCTCCTTACTCATCTCTTAGCACTTTATGTTGAAAAATACAGACTCATAAATGCATCTTTTGGGGGTCCATTTCCCCATGTTTCTGTACTCTTACGGAATGAATGCGCAGAGCCATCCTGCCGCTCAAAGTTGGAAATAATGTGAAAAATGGAGCAGTTTGTAACGAGCTCTTCCTTGATGGTGTCCTTTCTGTCTTGAAGATAGTGGTGACAATTGATTCTGTCATGATCAGGTTAGGGTAGCCCACTTTCATTTAAGAAATCCTTTAATGTCTTCTCTGTCACATGCAGAACTTGTAATGTTTGAAAGATATACCTCCATGTTGCCAAAATAGACCCATGATAAAAAAAAATACAGGGACAGTTTAGGCTATTGTATTAACTTATTTAATTTAGTTCGTAAAACTCAAGCTGCATAAATAACATGTGTTCCTTTAAAACAAAAGATAAAGGGCAGATTGTTGGTGTTCAAATTTTTGACTTATTAAAAAAAAAGATAATAGTTGTTTTTGTAGAAATACTCCTAAGAATAAAATATCTTAAGTATATAGCAATTATGTGTATATAGTATTAAATATAAATATATATACATATATATATATATATACTATACATGCTTTTCTCTTCAGCTCTAGGTTCCTATTTGTCTCTATAATTTATTTTTTAAATATAAAGCATGTTTCATCTGGGAACTGAACAGTGTTCTAAACGTAAGAAATGTTTTTGGTGATTTATGTTTAACTGATTGACATCTTAAGGGTATTGATATTTTTATAATAAGAAAAAGCAGGAATTTATGTGGCATGGGATATATTAGTTCCAACAGTATTTTTGAAGTACTATTTTTTTGTTCTGTGCCTATTTAAAACAGTGCCTCTCTTTGAAGGTGCTAATAATAACCTATTTAAATATAAGATGAGGGTTTAATTATTGCTTCAGTCTTGATTATTATGAGATAATAATATGCATATTCTGAGATACATGAGATGGTCAAAGTCATACAGGTTGTTTTATCGTTCACAATCCTGTAATTATTGCAGCGGTTAGTATCAGCACATATAAAAATTCCTACCAAAACCTGAACTGTATGAAATACCTGACCTTATGCAGAACTGGGACATATGGAAACTACATTTATTGTAATATTTTACTTTTCCATAAGACTGTTGAGTATGACGAAATGAGGACTATATATAATGAGCACTTCAGATGACTGTGTGGGCCTTTCCTTTGCTAGATCTGAAACAAAATCACATGTGAGACCTGTGTTTGAGGCAGTGGGCAGATATTGAAAGAAGTTTATGCTCAACTGTTTAAACCACCTCAGTAAAGAAGAGGAGGGTATGCAGTACTGAAAAGCAGTCTTCTCCTGGCAGGTTTGGGGAAGGTACAAGGTGATTGAAGAGAGTCTGAGCTCTTCTCGCCCCTTTACCATCTGAGGGATTTCAATAGACAAAATACGATTTCTTGCATGAAGGTTGCCCTTCAGTGTGTTGGTAGTTGAGATTAAAATCCCACATTAAGTTGGCTGTTTAATTTAATCCTTCTCTCAGATGAGTTTTTTTTCCCCCACATACCCTGTCATGCCTCAAACATTATCATTTCTCAGTATGTCGGTCTCCCAGAAATCCACAAGAATGACCCCATGATCCTTGGCCTTTGAGGTTTACACCTTTGGTGTCAAATGGATTCACTCAGAACTTGAGACTGTCCTGCTTTATCAGGCCCTGTTGGTTGAAGAAATATTTGGAATCTCCTTTTCCTTGCCCCCCAAGGAGCAGGTGTACTAACTATGGCCGGCACCAGGCCTTCCTCTGTAAAAGGAATAATACCAGCCATGATCATTAATTAACATTAAACCAAATACTTGGAGCCAAAAAAGAGATGAAGGAAGCTTCTTAGGCCCTATTAAATCAGAGACACACTAGAAGAAATGTTTACGTTGCTCCTCTTTCCGAGTGGCTAGCTAGGTGTGTGCACCGCGCGTGTGTGTGCGCACGGATGGCTGTGTAGGAGGCTAACTGTAGCCATACATGATGCTCTGGTTTTCTTAACCTCAAGAAAAGAGGAGGAATAAGAATGTAGAACAGTTATCAGGAGAAGATGACTTTCGTACATGTGGATAGAACAATGGGAATGGAAGGGCCAGTAGAAGGTTTATGGGCCAGATTACTTCTGAAAACTCTATCAGACCAGAAGACTCCACTTTCCACTGAGTTCTTTTCTTAGGGTGCAAGTAGCATGGACACAAGTTTTGGCTCAGTACATTACCAGTGTTATTTAATTTAGATTATTGAAAGAATATTTGGGTAGCGAGAATAAATAGTATCATGCTTTTAGCTTTTATTATCTTCAAAAAAAAAACTAGAAATATTAGCACCAGGAGAGAATTTCTGGTTACCTAGTAACCATCTTCACGTTCCACTCCTTGTTCTTTAGACAAACACAAAGGGAAGCAATGAAACAGCCTTACCTGTTTCCCTCAAAGAACCACCAATGCTCGTGCTTGGAGGAGGTTAAAGGAACACCCCTCGTCATGTAGTGAGCCCTCAACTAAATCAGAAGGCCTCAAGGGGTGATGGGTCACAAGAATTATCTATGTCTTCCAGTTGCTGAAATATCTGATCAGTCATGACAAACTGAACCTAAAAAACTAATGGATTGCCTTCTTTCTTTCTCAAACCGGCATTCCATATGGGTCTTTCTCTTTACTTTTTCTAATTTGGTGCTCCCCAAGTCATCTTTAAAGTGCCCTTCCTCCAAACTTAAAAAGTACTTCTTTGATAAAAGTTGCTATTCATTACAAAACGTTCCAGTTTTTTAAACTTAAATGTCACTTCCATTGAAAGTCTGCCATTTGGTGTATTAAGTACAAAACGTAGTGCAGACCAATCTCCAGGTTTTAAGTGGGACTCAGCAATGAAGGATGCCACCAGCCACTTTTGTAATAATGGCATCTACAGTGCCATCATGTATGCAAGCAATAAAACTCTTCAGGGTATGTTTTTATATTGAAAATTTTAATATGGATGCCTGTAGCCGCAAGCATGTAGAGAATTAACCTCTCCAGAAGTGATACTGTAATTCAGAATGCTGAGCATAAGGTAGAGAAGGTAGGGGTGGAGGGAGGCATTATTCCTTGGATTCAAATAACTATCAAAAGCATTTTTACTTCTGAAAAGGGTATGGATGGTGAACCAACACATCCACACTACTTGCCAGACTACGTTTAGTTTGCCACAAACTTTAATACAGCATGCAGGTTGGTGTACTCATCTTCACTGGGTGACCTAAACCCATTTTTTTTAATACCCCGTTTTTAAAAATTACCGAACTTTTTGCAAGAACCAACCTTCTCAGTGTACCCTGCTCCCATATATAGGTGTACATTTAGATTAAAAAAAAAATACTTGTTATAGCCCTAAGTATATAAAAACTACAAACTTCACAGTATTACAGGCTGTTGAAGATCCGCTGATGCCTTCTGAAAACCTTATAACAAAAATACGTCTGCGAGTTCACGATTCTGTTTCTCTCGTCTACTTTGTGGAAACAGGGTTTGTTTTGTTTTGTTTTCCCTTCAAATTTTGGATCTCATTTCTGGTTATATTCAAAGCCTTAAGTTCTTACTCTGAGCATATTGTCTGTGATAACTGTAATAATGATTTTCTGAACTGGATATATCCGGAGCAAAGAGCACCGGTAGGGACAAATGAACATCTCGGGAACAAAGGTCTTTATTGTCATTGTTGCAGGTACCCTTGCTATAATGCTATAATAGAAGATTAATTAAAATTCCCAGCATCACATGATATTTGTGTTAGTGGGTCTAAAAGTAAGCACATGATATTTATAAGCTAAAATTAAAAGGCAAGAGGGCCTTAATGTTTTTATTCTCAAATTTTGTATTCTTGTAGCATGTATTCTTAGGGAAACTGTGCTAACCGGTTCTTAGGACTGGATCGACATCCAGAGTAGATCATTTTACTTCTTCATTCTCATCCAGTTTTAGTAGGAACAAATGGCTTTTTATTGTCATATTGCTGTCTACGGTAGATTCTCCAGACTTAGAAAATGTAAGATATATGTAAAAACACTATTGATTTCCAATTCTGTTTTTCCACAGGAATGAAATTTTTAATAGAAACTGGTCTTTTTAACTATTTTAATATAAGTGTACTTGGATTTTTAGTATAATTCATTCTGATGGATGCCCCATGATCATACTGTCACGAGAAAATAACTTTGCATCCTTCATTGATACAGTTAAGAGGGATAAGGTTGGGGACTGAAATAGGCAAGAATGAGCAGAAAGGCGAGGCAGACAGAAGGATACCAGAGCTGGAGCAATGTAAAGAGAAAAATCCTTAAATTGCAGAAGGAATTTGAACTCTAAAATATAAATCTGTATCACTGAATACCGGTAGGACCTGTTGCACCAGGCCTTTGCCTCGGCATCTCAATTATTCCATTGGTGTCTTGTCATCCCTTCCTTTTCCTTGATGCTTAAAAAAAATTTTTTTTTTTCATTCAGTTGGGCCATTTTTTGCACTGTTTGCTGAGATTTTTTTAAAAACCATCAAAAGCCAATCATGGTCTTCTAACTTTTTGGACCGAGTATTTGGCAAAATGCCGTGTCTTTTCTGGTTTGAGATGAAGTAGCACAGAGCTTCTCAAGATAATTCGTGACATGTTCGATCCCTGAGAGTTCCGTGATGGCATACCGCTTCCTAAAATTTATTCTGATAGATTTAGTGGGAAGTTAAATCAAGAAGTATAATTGTAGCATATTTTAAGTGAAACCAAATACATAGAGTGATATATAGAGGTTTGGGAAGAAGCGTCATAGAGTATCTGGGGACCATTATAACAGAATTGCATTATATATTACACATTATGTGGGTGTTGGAATGTATCACTTTGGGGGAGGGCCTCCACGCATTAGCAATCATGTCTGAATATAAAACATTTTTTTAAAACCAAACTAGCATTTCATTTTGTGAATGACAATTGACTGATAATTTTGAATAAGTGTTATGTGGATTTTTGAATTGTTGACTGATCAGTTTGAAAAGGTGTGTTATCAGAATTTTAGAGTTGACTCAAATGTGAAAAAGCATACACGAAAAGTAATTTTTCTTTTCTAGCTATATGAATGTAAAATACTTTGCATATAGTGTATATATTGTGTAACATATGTATATTTGGTCAAAGGCATAGAATTGGAAACTGTAAAATTAAGCACTTTAATTCCTATTAAATGTCAAGCATTTGTATCTTGTAAATAAATACATCCTTAAATGAATTCTAAAGACTTAGATGTTATTTAAACTAGGATTATGTATGTTTGGTTATAGTGATTTTTGTCTGTCAGAAATTTTGGTTGGCTCAGGAAAAAAGTTACTCTCACCGGGACTGCTGCCCCTCCAGTCTCCGATCTCCACCAGAACTTGTGGAAGTTGTTCAAGAGTGTGTGGCAGAAGCCAAGAGAAAGGGGTCTTCTCCCTGTGAAAACCCCAAGGCTAGATCTCCAGGAACCCGTCATAGCGCACCACACTGTTCCTGGGAAATGACCGCCCTACTCCCGCCTTTATGGGGTGCGCCTATAGTGGTCGGCCTTACACAGTGACACAGACGTGCAAATGGAAGTCAAAGAAAATGTGCTTGCATCTTAGTCCTGCTATTTCCTGTTTTGTGTCTGTAGACAGTTTACCTCAATCCCACTAATAAACTCTCATGATCATTCCCCAAAAAAAGACCCTCGGGGAGCATAAAACGCTACACAAATAGTAGTCCATGGAACACTTCATTGGATTTTTCCCTTGGCTTTTGATTTAAACAATAAAAAGATATCCCAAAAAGAAATCCTCAGCAACTTTTAGTATGATGTCATAAGCAAAATATTTCCAGAGATAATCCTTTTTAGAAGTTTATTACCTTTGGTAGGACCTAAGGAACTAACTGATGCTTGGAAGCAGTTGGCATCAGCGGAAGAATTCCTTCAAATGTTGCCCTCGACTCATCAGTATGACCTGCTTGGGTCCCCCTTACACCGTGAAGAGGATTTCTCAGTTTCTAAGGAACGTAAGACTAACCTGCAGATCTTGTTAAACTACAGATTCTGGTTTTATTTTAATAAAGTTTAGCAGGTTTGTGATGATGCAGTTCTCACGAGATCTCAGTTAATGTTGATGCTCTTAGGTTCTTTCAGGACAAGCTCACAGCAGGAAGGACTGTGTCATAGACAACTGGCTAGAGGTCCTTGGCTCGGCCCCTCAGCTGTTTGTGACTTGAGGCACAAACGCTTTCTTGAAAAGTTGTGGGACTTAAATGAGACAATGTTCTAGTGTATTGTCTGCCCCATGAGAGACATACAGCACATAATTTTTAATTTTTAATATTAATAGAGATCATTTAGTTTAAGTTTGCAGCCCTGACTATACAGTAGAGCCGCCTCAGGAGTAAATAGTGATGTCCTGGCCTGGCCTCAGAAATTCTGTTTGCCTGCGTTGGGCTCTGAGCATTAGTGTTTTCAAAACTTCCCCAGGTGATGCTGACGGGAAACCTCCCTTGAGAACTGCTGGCTTCAGTCAGTGCTTGGTCCTCGTTTTCTGTACACATGCTATCTCACGTAAGCCTCAACGGCCCTCTGTTTTCAGGTGACGAACAGGGTTAGATAGGTTAAGTAATTTGTCACTAAGCTCTTGAAATCGTCTCTTCTTCCCTCACCTGGTTTAAATACCACGTTCAGTCGCGGTAACTGTTCCTATGCTGTCACTCAGCTCTCTTGTCCCTCTAGCTTTGTCTTAGTCGCTTGGCAAAACCAAAATGTGGTTTACTGAACTCTGTTTTCTCCATGCTTCACCTGTGCAGCTGTACAAAACAAACCATGTGGATTGGTCTCATTTTAAATTCATTGCTAGGCCACCACTTCATACCTCCTCAAGGCTCTGGTACCTCCCTCATCCTTGGTCCCAACTGATGACCTTCTTTCTTGCTTTACTGAGAAAATTAATCGGGAGGTGTGGATACAGTGAAGGTTCCTGTGGCCGGGATTCTCAGCTGGCCCTGGTCGGCTGGCTCACTACACTCGTGTGGGCAATACGTCGTTATTGACTCTATATAAAGAGCTCCGCCCAGTGCTCTGGGCGGCACAGTGGCACGGCTGCAGGACTGTAGGAGTGCAGAGATGAGACTGGAATGGTGGCAGCACCGAGGACAGACTGAGACAGCTGCGGGGACAGAGAGGCCCAGAGGCAGAGACCGGCTTTCTGCCTGCAGACTCGCTCTGAATGCATGGGATTCTAGTGACTGACCTGCCACCGTGGGAATAAAGTTGGGTAGAACCCTTCCACTCCAAGAACATTCTACTGTCATTTCTTTGGTCACATTGGATCCGTAGTGAACTTGTCCAGAGCTGAAACCCACTGGCAAGACAGGAGGGGAATTCCACAGTCTCCCACAACCACATCCAGCCGTCTACCAACATTTGGACCTGCCTACCCACCTGCCTCCCTAAACCTGATCCCTGCATTTGTGCACCAGGTCCTGTCCCCACCCAAGCATATTGCTCTGGCATTCTCCCTTTCTCCTACAATATCAGTTTTCTCTCTCTATTGGGTCTATCAGCAGACATGTCTGCTATTATTTCTCCCAGCTCAAGCCTCTTCACCCCACTCCCCCTGCCATCTCCCCTCCATTTTCTCTTCCCTTTGGGGTAATACTTAAAATGAGTTTTCTGTACTTCATGTCGCCAACTCCTCTCTCCATTCTTCCCTGAATGTACTGCAGTCACGCTTTGGCCCCCACCATTTAACTGAAACCAGGACTCCATGTTGCTCAGTCCAGTGGTCAGTTCTCACTGCTCATTTTCACTGGACTCAGTGCATCGGACATACCCGACCACACCCGCCTCCTCAAGGCACTTGCGGCACTTGGCTGGCAAGACGCGAAACTCTTGGTCTTCTTTCTGTTCCTGTCTGGATACTCTTGATCTCCTTTGCTGTTTTCTACATTTCTTCCCAACTTTTGAGATATCCCAGGGCTAAGTATGTCCCAGGCTCTCCTCTTTATCTTCACTCATTCTTTAGATAATCACATGTAATTTCTAGCTGTCAACTCCTAGTTTTGTGCCTACGGCTCTCACTGTTCCTCCGCACACCAGAAATACTGCTCAGACCACCTAACTGTCATCTCCACTTGGACGTCTTGAGGACATCTCAAATTCAGCCCATCCAGAACTGAACTGACCTTGCCCCGTGAAACCTACCCCACCCGTACGCTTCCTCATCCTCAGTTAGGGGCAGCCTTGGTTTTCAGGTTGCCCCGGCTGGTGCTCATCCTTGACGCCTCTCAGAAATCTCAGACTGACGTGTAGTAAATTCGGAAGTTCTGTTAGCTCACCTTCAAAATGCAGAATCATTCTCTCACCAGTTCCATCGCTACCAGTCTGACCTGTGCAGGCATCTCTGGCCCACATCACTGCAATAGCTGCCCAGTTAATCTTAAGGCTCCCATCCCACTGCATTTGTCATATATGCCAGTGGAGTCCTTTAAGGCACATGTCAGATCATGTCACTTCAATGCTCCAGTCCGCCCAGGGGCTCCCCATTTCACTCAGGATAAAACCCAAAGACCCTTGAGTTGCCTCACAAGGCCCTATGTATTTCTTTCCTCCCCCCAACCCCCCAAACCATTCTGTGTCCATCTCCTCTGTCAGTAAGCTAAGTACGGAGTGGCCTTGTTAACACTCGCTGACTGTTCCCTCTTCCCGCAGGGCCCCTCTCCAGGTGTCTGCACAGGTGATACCCTCACCAATTTCAAGTCTTTACTCAAATCACTGCCTCCACCTCACCTGACCACAGTACCTTCCATCACAACTGCATCCACTAACCATGTAACTTCTACTCCTTAATCTGGCCTTTTCCCCATGGCACTTGACATCTTGTAGCAAACTAAATAATTAGCAGTTCTCCTGTTTATTTTTATTTTATGGAGTTGACAATAGAAACTCCATAACAGTAAGGGCTTTCACCTGTTCTGATTACTGCCTAAATTCCCAGTGCAGTGCCTGTACATTGTAGGTATTCAGTGTAATACTGAATACAAAAGCTAGGTTATATAAAAGAAAAAAAATGAACAGAACCTTTTCCCCAAAGAATCAAATGGTTATGGGTACAGACCTTTGGAATAGAGGCTGAGAGGGAAAAAAAAAATCAATATTTTATGTAGCTAAGTTGTTTTAATAGCGAGGCCAGATCCCTGGAAATGTGTTTAAAACACAGTCAAGGACTTCAAAATATAATAGTGAAAATCTTAGCTTTTGCATGATGGATTCTTGCTTTTTTAAAATCAGTCTTGACCATCACCCCCATCACCCCCCTCCTGGACCGTGAGGAAATTAGAGGCAGCTGGCCACTTCCAGGGGCACTGAAAGACACACACCTGAGGAAGCAGGGCCCCCAGAGTGGCCTGGCCCGGGGTCCAGACAGTGAATGCCTCGTCTGCGGTCACTGTCTTATGGAGGAAGTGATGCATGTGTTGTTTTGGTCTAGCATTTAAGTGAAAACAAAGCCAGGTTGCTTTGTCTCAGTAAAGGAAACTGTACTTTCATACAGTAAAATTGGACCTCATAGTCCATTATGGTATTTTCATGAGAAACAGTTTTTACATCACTTAAATGGATCCTTATCCTACATTGAACAAAGGTAATGTACTCTGAAAAAATTAAGAATATTGTTTCTATAAAGAATCATGTTCCAAGGTGGAACAAACAGACCTCATCTTAAATATCATCTGCATCAATATGTGTGTATGTCTGTCTGTCTCAGGAGTAGAGAGCAGGCAGGCACAGAATACAGGGAGAATGAACCAAAGGATCCTGAATCGCAGAGCAGAAGAAACAACCAACAAAGAAAAATTACTTGCTAAAGTCATGAGGCTTTACCGATACACCTTTTTTGTTGAGTTTTGACTTTTGAACCATCAGTGTTCTATGTATACAACACACACACACAATAAAAAAAATGGTGAAAAACTCTAAAATGGAATATAGACACAAGCAAATGAACCTGCCTGTATATCAAATAACACCAAATGGATAACATTATCATGCTGAAGATAAAAACTAGAAGAAGAATGCACACTTTAGAATACAGTATGTGGACTATGTAGGTTTAGACTAAAGACAAAACTGCAAACAAATACTGAATTCTAGTCAGTGTTTTTCCCAGTGCTGTAGCTTAGCATTTCTAACATTTTCTGAGTTCTGTGAGTGAGCAAATAATATGTTGAGGATAATGTGATCCAGATTTCTCACTGTCAGAGAAAGCAGTTATGGCATGGAAAGGGGGAACATGATAGCAAATCTTGTGTCTGTTGTCCTAGATTACAGGTATCTGTATGAACACATGGTTTTATAAAGTTAGCTAGCCAACTGGGTATAGATAGTTTTATATATGTGGATATGTGTGTGTGTACAAGTACGTGTATCTCCTAGTTGTCTGCTATGGGAGAAGCAGTAACAGCCCAGCAGCAATGAGCACACCAGTGTTGGTTTCTAAATACCATTTTCCGCTAAAAGGAACCAGAGCTTAGAAACCTAGCTGAGTCCAGGGATGGGGCAGAGAAAATGCAAGATAAGTCTGGAATATCATGTGCCAGAAAGTGGGAAAGTGCCCCCAAGAATGGTGAAGACATATCAGAAGAACCCGGAGTCAGCCTAAAGGCAAAATATGGGAACATGTTTAACATGGAAATTGCAATGATACTGCTATCAACTATATCTCAGTAAAGCTGGAGGGAAACTGGTAACATTAAAATCCATTGAATAAAATAGGAACACAAGAATTCAGACTGATATGAAT